TTATGCTTGAGGTAGGGCTATAGTCTTCAGCATATGGTAGCAATATTAATTTGAGTTTTGTAATGTGGCTATTAGCAAACAATCCTTCTCATCTGCTGTGGTTTCTATTAAAAAGAAGGAAGTGAAATGCTGTTGATTTTACTGGTTTGATTTTAAATAAGTATCATCTGTCTGAAATCAGAATTAATTGTGCTATTTATTTGGGGAAAATAAGCCCCTTAAAGCACTCCAGAAACTTTTCTATCCTTTCAGTTACATAAATCTGTTTATAATTATTCCTAATAAATTTCAGTGACAGCGCGACCAAATAATTAGATTGTATTCCTACAAAAGAGTGTTTCTTTGAAGAAACACAATCTTCTATTATGTTTTCAGCAGGTATCATATTTTTAGTGGTTTTTGTTGGTTGGTTGGTTGGTTGGTTGGTTAGTTTTTTTTGTTTGTTTGGTTTGGTTTGGTTTTTTGGGGGGGACGGGGGAGAAATAATAGCAGGTAATATAAAATTACTGAATCACTTCATAAAATTTGAAATTGAAAGGTAACATTGTGGATTTTTATAAATCACAACTTTTCACAGTAATTACCAAAACTGGTCTTGGAAAAATGGAAGAGAGGAGGTTATTTTATCTGGAAGTTGTCTAAAACATTTTAACATGCTCTTTTTGTTAAGGAATTCTAATTTTGTCATTCATGTTAACGCTCTCTGAGCACTCACTAAAGAGGTCTTATCTTCAGAAACCCAGCTGCTCTTCCAGCTCATAACCTAACATTTTATGGCTTAATAGTTGCTTTTTGCTTTATTCCTTCACTCATTCCTGGTCCTTAAAGAAGCTGATTTAAAGAATGGAGCCTAATTATTCTTTACTAGATGGAAATGCCTCCTGTGGGCTTAAAACGGCTCATTCTCTTTTTCTACAGTAGCAATAATTGTGAAGTCTTTTTATTTGCTACCCAAATATTTTTCCTTCATCTGTTGCATTCTTTCAGGATTCTTTTTTTTGTTCCTCAGCATCGAATTTATTTTTAGGATTCTTCACTGATACAGCTTTTCAGCACAGATCTGATAATATTAATGAAACTTCAGAGCTTATGGAGAGAGCAGCTCCAGCTTTGCAAAGTTGTATTTATGAGAGCTGCTTCAAAAGTAATGCCTTCTGTTTTTATTATGTTGGTCCACAATATCAGAGGCAGACGTGCTATTGCAGTAGGGGTTGAACCGTCCCACCAATGTTCTATTACATGTAGTTGCCATACAGATGGCAGCAGAGAGAGAGTCTGACACAATGGTGTCTGACATGGAAATGTGTATGAAACAAAGGTGTGTCATTGAATTCCTCCACGTGGAAAATGAGGGCATCCATTGACATTCGTCAACATTTGCTGGATGTTTATGGAGATAAAACAGTAGATGTGAGCACAGTGAGGCAGCAGATACAGATTTTTGTGAGTGCTTCATGCAGGCTGTTGTTCATCACTGACAAAATGAGTAGCTAATGGTGTTGAGTATGTTGAAAAACAGTGTTTTATAGCTAGAATTTGGTTTAACAAAGAATGTTATTGTGCTTTTTGTATCTGTAGTGGTTTCCATGGAAGTAAATAGGATGCATTACTTTCAGGGTGACCTACATATGCATAGAGACCACATACATACGTATCAAGAACTCTTCTTGAATTTGTTTTTATTTTCCTTTGTTCTTTGCAGAAATACCTGCTCCACTTATTTTATTTTTTTGTTTGTTTGTTTGTTTTTCCCACTAGGAACATCAGTGTTCACTTCAAACACTGATACATTTTTCTGTTATATTTTTCCCTTTTTTTCCACTTCTAACTCATGCAGAGAAAAGCAGTTGGATCTTATCCATTTAAGTGAACAAATAAACACAATTTTCTGTGGTCACAGCCTTCGCAATATACTGAGATTTTGTTACAGTTTGATTTAAATCATTATGTAGCATGACTTATGTAAGAATAAATTTACTAGTTGTCTCGTATTTAATTTCCTAATGAAAGATTAATTCATAGTGTCTTTTAAACAATAAATATATTGATTTGTCTCTAAATAAAGCTTGTATAATAATTTGGGGATTATTTTGTGCTAATTGGGAAAATAGACTGCATAAGCCATTAAACAATTATATAAATTAACATCATGTATTTAAATTTGCAGTGTTTATATTCTTCTATTTCTGGAAAACAGTCTGTAATATCTCTTATTTACTATAGATGGTTAGGCTTTTACCCATCATTTGTATCAAGCTGTTTTTAAATGGAAATGGAAATTGAAGTAAAACATGGAAAACAATGTTTAAAATAGATTTTTACTATTTTAAGCTACTTAATATCTGAAGGAAACTGTTTTTAATGTAGAAAATATACTTTAGAAAGGCAACTAATTTGTTGTTAATAAATGAAGTTGCCTTTCTCTAATCACCATGTCATTTTAAATGTGTTAAGCTGTGGCTTTCAACCTCGTGTGCCTATTTCTTTAATTATAGACTACAGGAAGAACTACTTTCTTCCCTACGTGTTTGTTTTTTTCTTCAAAAATCTAAATAATTTGGAGTTGCAGTAAACTGAACTGCCATCCAGTGGTACTCCTTCTGTACATGCAGAAGAGATTATGGCTATGTAAGCTGGTTTATTATTTCAGCAGGTTTTAGTCCCGGTTGCGTCACCAAGCAGAACGAGGCTTGCTTCTTGATTTAACTTAATTGTCAAAGTTTTAAAGAAGCAGAAGCAAAAGGAAACAATACACGGATAGTGTTCTTATGCAAAATAGAAGTAATGATAGAAATCAGAAATACTGCCTCTGATAGACCTTGCCACAGTTTCATTTTTCATTTAACTTAAAGAGTTTATGAACAAAAGCACGAAATCGGTGTAGGACCACGTTTACATTTATTCCCTCACTGTATCATGAGTTTGACGCTAACAGTGTCAGTGTTGAGCATCATCAGTTAGTGTTGCCAAATCTTTCCAAAATTGACTTCGTCACCAAAATAAACAGGGGACACACTTGGATAATGTTCAAAATCAATGTCATGAAAATCACAATTTCCCACTTAATCAAAAAAGTAAATGGAAGTTTCAGTCACACTGGAGGACGAAAGTACATTCTTCATGATAGGTCATGTGGTATCATCTCTTAGGAGAGAGTATTATATACATGATAGTTTCCATTCTTCAGGCATTTTTCAATTTGTTCTCCTTAACTTTGAGATGTGTTCTTGCTCTTTTTCTATTTTTAATTCAGTCCTTTGAGTCTCTTAGTCTTTGCCAGAAAACAGTAAAAATATCTGTGAAAAAAGAAACAAAGCAAAAACTGAGTAATTTGAAGTGTCAGATTTTTGTTTTTGGTGTAGGTGTTCTGTATCTCAGGAGCTTCACTATTGCAGTGATTTTGATTATATAAAATAGCTATTGTTTGTTTTCTGCTGACAATATACTGCTCCTTCAAGTTGTCGTTTTTGATTGTAAGCTTTGCTCATCGTGTGGAAAAGATTGATTCTAACGTAAGCTTGGAAGCTGTTTTGTGTTGCAGCTTCTTTGTATATTCTTGACAAATGCTTCAAGTACATGGAAGAAAGTCGAAAATATCGGTTAAAAATCTTGTGAAAAAATTGAATTTCTCTTATCTGCTAATGAAAATTTTTAATCTAATATGAAAATTATCTTGATATAGTCCCAATAAAACAGAATATATTCTCTGTTTGTGAGGTAAGTATTAATTAGTTTTTCTTTCAGCATGGAAATGTTTAATATCCCATGCATCTTATGCTGCCAATTAAATATTGATAGCCAAATTGTCTCAATTCTTTTTTCTTACAAACACAAAGAAAAAGCCTTTAAAATATTTATTCTGTGAAATAGTGCTAGAGGCAAGGGATCTGATGTGCTCCTTCAGTTCTCTGCACATGCTATTGAAGGATGGAAGGAGAAAATCATACATGAAGAGAAAGTTTGGGCTATAACTCCTTGCACATCTGTGCAGCGTTTGCATGTCCTCAGAGTTCTGTGGTAGCTACACCACGTAGGGCAGACCTGGGCATCACAAAGGAAGCATGTCAGCATGCACAGTGGTGTAGGGCAGCCAGACTCAAACTGAGTCTGAGGATGAGGGAAGAAGAAAAGTGTTCAGCTTCTGGATTCATGCTCATTCTGTTTTAGCTGGGCTGTCTTAAGCACTACTAAGAGTAATGGTAATGCCAGGCATTAAGAGTGGAAAGGTTTTTACAGCCCTTTTAGTCAAGCTTGCTGAGTGTTGTGATTAACAGAATGCTCCAGGCATTCATATCAGTTTAGTAAAGCTGGATTTTTAGAAATAATTTGTGATTTTTCCTTTTAACTGGGAGACTTTTCTGTGTCTCAGACAACGTGTAGTCAAGAGGCTGTTTAAAGCAAGTGCTATTTATTTATTAAAGCATGTATTATTAAAAGGACTGATGAACAGCAGTGGGTATTACCTGAGAGACCAGTTTTCCTCTTTTCAGGATATTTCAATTTACCCATTAAACAAGCGTGTGTTCTTACTTTTGCCAAGAGTGGAACAAAATGGAGTAGTCTGGCTCCTAAGAAGCCAGTGCTATTTCTAGAGCACAGGGTCATCAGTGTCTTCTGTATGTAAAAGTACACATTCAGAACTGCAGAATTCATTAGAAATGACTTGATGAAGAAGAAATTTTTGCCTGGCTTCTGTATGAGGACCCTTGTTCGACTCCTTCAGTTACCTTCAGGACCCAACAGGCAAAACCTGCAGTCTCCAGAGCTGCAAAGAAAGAGCCTGGGGAGACACTACTAATTGTGAAGCAACACTTTCATTTACACTGTGACCAGATTCTCAGCTCGTTTCGACCTCAAGATTAGTTTAATTTCATAGCACAAGTGTTTTGTTTTCCAGGTGCTTGCTATTTTTTTTTTTTCTCTTTTCTTGGGACTCTTCAAGAAGGATACAGAGAAGATAACCTCCATAACAGTATTCTTTTTTTTTTTTTTTTATAAAGTTTGCCCAAAGCAGACATCTGAAGAATTGTCTTCCAATCGTGATTCGAGCCTTACAAATGCACCAGTGCAAAGCAAGCTAGTATCTTCCTTCCAGCAGCACACAAAGAAAGCACTTAAGCAGGTAAGCTCCTGCTGACTGCAGGTCAGTTGGCTGTCCTCCACATGGGTGTCTGATATGAATGTGAGAATGCGACATCAGCAGAATTTCAGGGTATTTCTGAGAGGATTTGTAGGGTTTTGTTTAATGGTGCATTGCAAGGTTTTTTTATGTTTATTTGTTTACCAATCCTGCCATTTACAGTGTTTTTGATGTTTTCTTAAGTACTTTGCAAGAAAGCAGAATTGTTTGTATTAATCACATCCCAGGTTTTTTTATGTAAGCACTTATCCTGAACATTTTATGAGGCTTAAAATAAAACAAAGATTTTGGAGTAAGTTCTACAGATAGTAAGAATCTGGATGTACTTAATTATGGCTGTAGTTGCTCTTCAGTTTTCCTTTATGGCCTGCTTAATAATTCTTTTTCATACTAAATCTGACACTACAATGTGTATGAGTGGGATTGATTTTGGTTTTTGGATAACCTCTGATTAGGATGATTTAGGCTGCAAGTAACATAGTAAAACTTCACAAAAGTAACTACATATTAAAAATCAGTTATTAATAGAGTATAACTATGAAATTTATTTTTCAACAGTGCCAAATTAGTTCAGCTTACAACAGGGCAAATGAAAAACTAAAAAAAAAAGATAATTAAAAAAATGTATCATCTCCTCAATTTTGAGTTTGTAGAAATCTGTTTTAGTCACGTAAATATTGTAAAAAATGAAATACAACTTCTTAAAAACATTAGTTTGATGAGATGTCATTGCTTTTATTTTTCTTGTAACTCCTCTCTTAGTTCTGTTTAACTGAGGTACAATATTTCACAGGGTAGTTTATTACAGAGTTGTTGATTTAGGCTTAAGTTAAGGAAAGCCTGTCTGTGTTGCCTTCTTGAAATGTTTAAGTATTTATACTTAGGTTTTCATGGAGTCTGAGTTTAAATCCACTAAAATTAATAGACTGGTATTATTCACAGCAGATTTTCTTGTACTCACGCATTCTGAGGACTGGTGAGGATTCTTAGATTGGGGTCTCACAACTGTTTGGTCAGGAAAGTTAAACAGTGAGCAAAAAGCAACTCACTAGCTGCATGATCACTGAGAGAACTACACGCAACTCTTTGGAAATTTGTGTATGGATTCTTTGTAATTTATGAATTTAGGTGTTGATGGAGCAGGGGAAGGGAAGGAGGGAAAAAAAAAAAGAGCAATTCAAGATGAATAGCAGTGAGAACAGCTTAAAAAAAAAAAAAGCAAACTAATCAAAATAGCTTAATTAATGTAAAAAGTCATAACACTGATGGAAATCATTGAAAATATTCCCTAAGGCGACAGGGTTAAAGCACCATCTGAAAGTTAAGTAATCAATAGCAAGAAATCAGTTTTAATTAAGTTGATAGTAATTAGATCTTGTACTTCAGAGTATGAGATTATTAGTTCAGCTATCAGTAAAATGTATTCTCTGTGTTCACTGTGGAGTGGTAGAGGATTTTACCTTTGTTTTACTTTTTCTCGAAAGTTTCAGGTGCTGGCTACTGCCATATGCATGCTGCAGATTTGATTTAATTTGATATGGTAACAGAGAAAAATGAATTTCAGCAGTGATTTAATGTATAAAATTACTGTGGGAATTTTATTCTTTTACTTTCCGATCTTTCTGTTGCTTTCGTGGATACGTAACACAAAAATTTGTACAGATGACAGCCTGGAGTACATTTAAATGTATAAAAAAATCAGGCAGTTGGATCCAATAGTCTTCTATTGATACCAACTTACAGGTTCTGTGCTAAAGTAACAAAAGATGAGCCAACAGCCTGCTTTCAGCAATATTTATGCTGTATAATCATATATATACATACTTTACTAATGTCAGTAAGAGGTCTTCCCTAGCTATTGTGGTTTTTCTATTACTTAACAGTCTTCATGGAATGAAAATCTACAAAATAATTTTTCAACCCATTTCCTACTCAATTTATTCAAAAACAGTGAGTTCTGATTAGCTTGATTTTGTGTGTATTTCTTTTGTTGTCCATTAAAATTGAAGAGGGGCAGGTTGATAATGTGAAGTACGCCTGAAGATCTGAGCTTGAATCAGCAGGTTTTTTCCACTGTTTATCTACTTGTTAGTCACTGTGGTCATGTCATTCTCTTTAAAGTGTTATACTGGATTTACAAATGATTTCATTTTTAATGAATTGTAGAGATATTCCTGGGTGTAGGTTGCAAAGAGCAATCTTATGTTTCCTTGTGACCGCCTGCATTTTTAGGATGTTCTCTGAATCAAATTGGTCATGACAATGAATTTCTTGAGCTATGCCAGCAGCTTGGAGGAAGGGGCATTTTCTGAGCCCTGGCTCTTGGTCTTGACTTCTCTCAGGTAGCAGTGGATCTGGGAGTGCTTCGCAGGGGGTAGGGAGGTTCACAGATCCTGTGGACTCTCAGAAGGTCTGTGTCACACTTCAGACCTTATTTCATCACACTTAAAAGCCTGGGCTGCCATTTTGTTCTGGAAACCTTATAGCTTCACAACCTTCCATAGTGTCATTTTGCTGGAAGAAGTATTTCAATTGTTTCACCATCGATTGTATTTCATGCTGCTTATTTCATTTTTGAGGAAGTTTCACTTTTGCTCCTGCATAGTTGCAAAGTCCAAAAAAATAGTTCCTATTCATGTTAGTTTAGACAAAAGACTCTGGTGTAGAGCTGTCTTTTATGCTCATCTTTCTGATGGCAGATTTTAAAGATATTATTTCCCTTTTGCTGTTGGAAGTGGTTGGGTATGCGTGCCCAGCTGTTGCATATCTAGTAACATTGGAAAAGGTGTTCCTGGCATGCTGTCACATACTGATTTCCCATCAGTACTGATCAGTTCCATACTGATGTACCTCATTTTCACACTTGAGGATTTTGGCATGCAGACCTATGTAAGGACCTCTTACCAGGAAAGTACTGAACTACATCTGCATCTGCTAACAGTGGCACATGATCACACTACTGTGTGAATTATTCTTGCTCTGGACAAGGCTAAACTCAAGTATGGATGTCAAGTCATGGCATAGTATCTACCATGCTCCTCTCTGGTCCAGTTTCTGTTCCATTGACTTGAGGTGTTACTTTTTCTGGAAGTCTTCACTATGTACAGATTTGTCTGTATTTATCAAGATGTTCTTGGAACATTTATCAGAAGAAATGATCATACCTGCAAACTGGCCTCACATAGGTAACACGTGAGCATATTGTGAATATCAAGGACATTGAGGTGGTGGTAGTGTCTGTTGGACTGTGATAGCCAAGTACCTTGCCCATCAGTGTACCAGTTGGTTCCTGAGTCAGTACCAAGAAAGAATAAAGAACTTGAAGATGTGATATAACGATGTCTGGGATGATATTAGACCTCTCAGACATGGAAGAAAATCCTGCCTCACTTTTGGCACTTTGGAATCAGCACCAAGAAGGGTACCCATAAATTTTCTGTTGGGAGAAGAGAAGGATACTTCATTCAGACTCAGAATCTGAATACAGACCAGGACATGTCTGAGACTGTGCTGGGCATCCAGATCTCTTTGTAGAGACAGAAACTCCAGAGACAGCAGCCAAGTGGGTTTGGGAGGAGACAAGCTCAGGAAATAAGGGAATCTACTCAAGGTATGTTATTGCTGCTGCTTTGTTTTGTTTTTCTTAACTTTGGGCTTTGTCTGCATGCTTGGTGGCTGGGTTTGTAATATGTGCCACTAATTTATTCATGAAGTGGGTAGATGCAGTTTCTCATGAAGAAGGAAGCACCCATCCGTATGATTTTTTCTTAGAACAGAAGTGGCAGCTCCACACCCCTTTTCATTTCAGTGGATGCTCTCAGGCCCCAAGCAGTAAGAAAGCTGTGGGGAAGTTATCATTTGGCTCATGTGTTGCTTCTGAAGTATAGGACATTAGACCTATAAACTGCAAGTAATATTTCAGGCTGACTTTTCTGGCATAACTATAATTGATATTAGAAACCAATCTATGACATGAAGCAACAGAAGATTAAATTTTGGAGGAGGATGGTGAAGACCATGACTTAGCCCTGATTTGCCCAAATTCACTGAACTATTTTATCAGGATTTTTTGTTTGTTTGGTTGGTTTTTTTAATGACACAGGTGTCCACATGCCTAGGTTGGCACTGAAGGTAGAATCCTATACTCCCTTGACTCTGGTGTGGATTTGCTTTCCTTTCTCCAGCTCGGGCATACCTCTTACCTTGCTTTGAGAGAAGAAAAAGAGCAAACTCACCAGTCTTGCTCCCTCCATGGTCATTCCGTTAGGACTTCTTTCCTTGACTACAGCCAGATACAGGTTCTCCTGAAGTACTTTCCTATCCTTAGAAATTAATCCATATGACTCTGTCTATGGTGTCTGTCCTTTGACTCAGTTGAGGAACAACTCATTCATATGTTCTGATACAAGCCTGATATATTTGTCTGCCCTCCTTTCCCATCTCTACCCTCGAAGAAATAAACATGACAGAGGAGATTATTCTGAATATGACCAGAACATGTAGAGTTTGAGCACCGGGTGACTTCCTAAAAGTCTTTGAAATTCCACTGTGAACTGAGAGATACTTCTTGTACTGAATTCCTTGGTAATAGAGAATTTGTTGCACTGTCTTAGAGCCTACATTAACCATTTTCCTATGTTTCATTTCAGATACTGCAGATTTACCAAGGCCACAGTTGGAGAATTCTGGCTCCCTAGCTGAAGCATTTGATCAGATGTCTGGCAACATAAGTGATGATTCTTGACAAATTTTCCTGTCAACAAATGAAAAACAAGAAAAATGTGTTGCTTTTTGACTACTAGAGAGACATGGGAAGGGACAGTGGAATTTACAAAATGCATTCAGGAAAATGGAATTTCGAAGATGCTAAACTAAACTGATTTTCTGATTGTCAAGACAAGTCTAGGGAAGAGGACAGAGAAACTATGGCAGGGAGACTGCATATTGGGGAAAAGAAGCTGGAAGAGCAAGAGTTCCAGCAG